GACAAGGACACCTTGTTGCTCAACACAGCGTGTGCCAGGTTAGCTGCCTGAGAGCACCTGGGGACAGTCCTGTCCCACCTCCCACCTCACAGTGAGGAGGGGCAGATGTGCCCTACTCTGCCTGCAGTCACGTGGGTGCTCGTGATTCTAGCTCAGGTACTCATGGCTGCACAGCAGACATGTTTCCCACAGAGCCACCTCCACAGCCCCCACTGGATTCTTAAAAATAAGTCAATTAATTAAAAGGTTACTTTCAATTAAAAGATAAAATAGTTCCTTTAAGAAATCCTCTAAATAGAGTGAGTGCTCCAATCTTGCCTCTCTTTCTTAGAACACATCTAAGTGTCACTGTGATGGGTGACGGAAGGCCATCTTCATGCAAAGCTGTGATGTGCTCTGAGCCATCAGTGTCCCTGGCTTCCCTGGGCAGCAGCTTAGCAGCTGCTCCCGCTGTCCTGTGTGGGCATGATCCTCTGTTCCTCTCTGTTCATGGCTGGGAGGCTCAGTGGTGTCTGCATGATCCATTGCTGATGCGGGACACCCTGTTGCAGTGAATGGCAGCAGTTAGCACTGACGTGTGGTGTCTCTGTGATGTGTAGACTTGGAGTCCTGAGGGCAAACGCCCAGGAGCGATCTGTGATGCTGGGCCACATGGAAGATGAACCTGTTGTTAGTTTCTTAAAGAAACCTCTGTAGTGTCTAAATTAGTGCATGTTCCCACTGCCACTCCCTTCTGTCACTTCACGCTTTCCTGTGTGCCTGTGTGCCTGTGTGGTCCCCACGGTCGTACAGCAAACACTCTTACACCCCGAGCCATCTCTCTAGCCCAGCGGTTCTCAACCTTCCCAGCCCTGCCACCCTTCCATACACTTCCTCATTTTGTGGTGACCTGCAGCCATACAATTACTTTGTTGCTACGTCATAACTGTAATTTTGCTTCTGTTATGAATGGTAATGTAATTATTTTTGGAGGTAGAGGGCTGCCGAGAGGGTCATGACCCCCAGGTTGAGAAACACTGCTCTAGCCCATTACTTGTTTTCCTCATAATTGCCATTCTTGGTGACATGGTGCCACACCGTAGGGTCTTTCTCTTCCCCTCCTCCTCGTCCTTGTCCTTCTTCCCCCACCCCCGATTTTTATTTTGTTATATTTTTGAAACAGTTTTCATTGGGAAAATGGAAAGTGTCCTCAACATAGTCCTTTTTGCATGGTTTTTAGTTCTGGGTTTAATGTTCTCCATGTGACAAAGCAACCTTGATGAAGCGCCAAAGAGCCCCACGGGGAAGCCTGGCGACGGGCCTGGATCCAGGCCCTGGAGTATGTGTGTGTGTGTGTGTGTGGGGGGGTAAGAGCAGGTGTGCTGTGAAGGAAAAGGGGGAGCTACACTTTGTGGTACGTTAAGGCCGAGCCTGCTGTGAGTGACGTTTCCGCAGGAGCTGAAGAGTGGAGGCTCATTGCTGCCTGAAGCGTTAGAGCTGAGCAGAGTTCACGCCCTCTCTGTGTCCTTACAGTGTAGTGTCCCCCGGGGGCATCTCACTGTCACACTTAAGGTCTTGACTGGCTGCAGCCCCTCCTAGAACCCCGAGAGTGGGTGGTACAGGCTCTTCACTGAGCTCTCGTGTGTGTGTGTGTGTGTGTGTGTGTGTGTGTGTGTGTGTGTGTGTGAAGAGATGGTGAAGCGCAGCTCTTCTTTGGTGGCAGGGAGCTCAAAGCATGCTGATGATTTTCACCCAGATTAGCCAGTTAAAATATGCGCACTGTCTCGGAGGCCAGGCCACCAGGCCTTAGGTCCCAGTGCCTCGTTACATGGGGAGGCGTCTTTTCTTGGGCTTTTCCTCATGAATGATGTATTTGGGTTTGTGGAGAAGCATGGCGGGGTGAGAGCAGCTGTGCGCTGCCGCTGTGTCCAGCTGCTGTCAGCAGTCGTTCTAGCTCTGAATCTGTGTTTTTGCACATGCACGTGTGTATACCAGGTGTTTGTGTGTGTGTGTGTGTGCATAAATACATGTGTATACCACTGAAAATTACATGTATGGCTGGTGTTTTGCCTTTGTGTGTGTCTGTGCATCAGTGTCTGCAGGGCCCGCAGAGGTCTGGAGAGGGCACCGGATCCCCGGGACTGAGGATAACGTAGTCGCTATGCTCCTGGGTGCTGGGTCTTCTGCAGGAGCAGCCAGTGCTGTGTGCCTTGGAGCCATCTCCCAAGCCCCCAGCCTGACACCTTCACTCCTAATAGCACTACTGATAACTCCTAGCGTCTCTGTCCTACGTAACCATACTTCCACTGTTGGAAATCACAGAAAACTGAGGCCTGGGGCTGGCTCGGTGAGGGCTTGCCTCCAGGGTATACAGGCGTGGCTCCCACACGCAGACCCACGTAAAAGCAGAGTGCAGTGGTCCTCCCGGGGTCCCTGGCGTTCGGGCTGGGTGGCTTAACCACTGAGTGGGTCCACAGTTAGTGAGAAAGCTGAGGAGGACACCAGATAGTGTCTGTCCTCTGACCTCCGTGTATGCACACACATGAATGCTACACACACAAACACCATACACACAAAAAACCAAAAAGACTTAACAATGATTTTCAAAGGTTATTAATTTCTCTTTTTTTGTTTCAAGTTTCCCTAGTTGCCTCCTGTCTTTCCTAGGTATTTTTTTCTTTCTTTCTTTCTGGTGCCAAACTGGAGTTAATCAAGATCAATACATCACCTTTTATTTTTCCCAATTTCTCTACGTTGGCCTGGGAGGCAGCCTGGGAAGTGGAAGGCCACAGTGAAATAGATACTTTGTAGGGTCCACGCTGCCGGGTAGATCATTAGCTTTGACTGTAGCCAATTCTGACGCCGTTGACGCCGTTTCAGGGGTCATGACAGGGCAGTGGAAGAGCAGGTTAGAGAGGTACAGCATTCTGACGGACATCACCAGGAGCCCGAGGTAAGAGCTCCTGCACTGTGTGTGCCTCCTGCCCCTGCGAGAACTGCAGCCACCCGCACACTCCGCTGGGGAGTTGGTGCTTATTTCACACCCATGCGTTGTGTCGTGCTGCAGACTATGCGGCGAGATTGTTTGTGCTGGATGGCTGGTACCTGGCCAGCCACATTCTTTCATAGGTGTTTAAGCGAGACACACCCGAATGCAAAGTGCCCGGCCCAGGAAGGGAAATGCGGCCCAGGAAGGGAAATGCGGCTGGTGTCCAGGGAGCAGACATTTCTTTCTGTTCAAGGCTTTCTTATGGTGGGCACCGAATCCCAGCCCGCCTGTCCTGTGCCTCGGTAAACAGAGGATTCACCAGTAAACACGGAAGGGTGTTCCGGCTCCCCGGCCCCCCTCTCTCCCCGCTTTGGGTGGGTCCCTCCATATTTTCTGTCCCTATCGGGAGATCAGACTGCCGTGGCTTGGAAATAAACATGATACCCTGCCAACACAAAGTGGTTTAGAAATGCGAGTCTATTTTACCAGCCAGCATTTCTGGCCGTATGTATTTTAAGCTATCATAAAACATGTACCTGCCATGCTCAGGAATGTGCCGGGGGCGAGTATCAAAGCCTGCCGCGGGAGGCTGGGAGTGTGTTTTGCTGTGTTGTAGGGTTATACCCTGACAACCTTCAGGAGGCCTGCGCTTCTGGAAGGGAGCGGTGCATAAATATCACAGACAGCTCCTTTATCCGTCGGCCGAGTCCTGCAGGTGTCAGTGGTGCCTGATTGCCACACGGGAGTCAGTCATCGGGGCTCAGGGGCAGCAGCGGAGGCTCAGGGCCAGCAGCAGAGTCTCAGAGGCATCGCTGGGTCAGGATGGGTGAAGGGCTCAAGCCTGCAGGCACCTGCCTGAGTTAACCCAGCTGTCAGTCCAGCAATCGACAGTCCCGACTTGGATGAGAGCAGGCAGCTGGATGCAAAAGCCCTCTGTGGTTGCTGATTTCTTTGCTAGAAGTTGCCTGAGCCTCCTGACCAGGACTGGGCTGGTTCAGGGCAGAATGGTAAAGACGCTTTGCTTGCTGTTTGATTCTTGTCTTTGTCACATTGTTATTCTTGTCTGGTGGGATGCTGGCCGTGCCAGTGAATCTTATTGCTTGTTGGTGGGTTAAGTGATCTGTAATTGTGACAGGACTTTCTTGCTGAGTAGTCTGTAAAGGAACAGAACCATATTGGGCAGGTTCTACACATCTGTCTAAATATTTGTGGCAGAAAGGGGGACGCAGTAAGATTCTGCAGTACATTAAAGAACTCACGTGTTTTAGCGGCTTGGGAGAATGTGGGCGTAGCAGGGGCAAGGGCCTGGGGTTGGTCTTTAGCACCAAAATGAAGGTTACGATGAGAAGCCTGTGCTGTATAGAGTAGCAGGTATCTGTGTTAAACGATGCTGCCGCCATTTTCATCGTATGTTCTTATCAGTATTAAAAGGTAAAAAGGGCCGTAACACCTCAGTGCGGTGGGGTAGGCACAAATGAAATCTTTAGCTGGCTGAGGACCCAGGGCCCCCATGTTTTTCACCTGCACAATCATCTTCTATTACGCACACTTATTTACTGTAACTGTGCTCACGAGCTGCATGTGGGGGTCAGAGGCCAGCCATGGGAGTCGGTTCTTTCCGCAGCGTGAGCTCCGAGGATCGAACCCAGGTTGTCAGGCTCTGCCACAAGCCCCTTTCCCGCTGAGCCGTCTCGCTGGCCGTGGCGATGCTTATATCATGTATTTCCTCTTGATAAGCAAGCGAGCATTCGGAGTGCTTCGAGGTCTCCAGGTCCCCTCCTGCCGAGTGGCTCCCAGGATGGTGGGGGGGGGGAGGGGGGAGGGGCGTGTGCCGCAGATTCTGGGGATGCTGTGGCTCTGTGACGGTCTCTTCTTGGCCAGCACCTCTTCTTCCTGGCTCTTCTCACATGCTGCCCTGAGGAGACAGGGTAGGCTCAGTGTGTGGGGGAGCGGGGTGTGTACACAGGCACTCGTGGGCAGTGCCCCGCTGACGGCTTCCCATGAACGCTCAGCCTGTCTCTGTGCTCTACAGCTGTCCCGCAGAGGCCCCGTGGACATGGATGCCTTTTCCCGTACCTCCGTGTGACCGTCCCAACACGAAGCTGCTGAGGCCGTCTCTGGGGTGCCCGTGCCAGGAAAGCCATGCCTTTCGGCCTGAAGCTCCGCAGGACCCGGCGCTACAACGTCCTGAGCAAGAACTGCTTTGTCACCCGGATCCGCCTGCTGGACAGCAATGTCATCGAGTGCACGCTGTCGGTGGAAAGCACGGGGCAGGAGTGCCTGGAGGCCGTGGCCCAGAGGCTGGAGCTGCGGGAGGTGAGCCGAGCGGGGTGGGCACGGGGAGGGGTGCCCGTGCTGGCACCTGCTGCCGCTTCAGCCAAAGTGTGTGTCTCGAGAGCCTGCTATTCTCGGTGAGGGTGTGCCTGCCCTCGCACCAGCGGCCCGGGAGACCACTGCTGATTGCGGGAGGGCCACAGCTGGCCTGGGAAAGCGGGTTTCCTTCTCTCCCCTCGTGAGATTTTAGGGGGGGGTGAAAATGAGAGACTCTCTCCACCAAAGCCATTTTCCCTGTCTCTAAGAGTGGGCAGTCAGGTCTGGTGGCTGCGTCATGAGGGGAAGCCACCCACAGGCCTGATGGCTGCAGCTGCCTTTTGTTTCCATGCTCCGCCGCTCCCCCCACCCCCAAGAGAAGGAGCGGATGACATTTAAAGTGAGGGTGACCCAGAGACATTGAGAAAGCCTTTTTTTTTTTTTTTAAGAATTAAAAAGAAATGCACATGCATTTGTGTGACTGTGGAGGCTGGGACAAGCTTGGGTGTCTCTTGGGCGTCTAGTGCTCACTGAATTGTCTGGTCTCAGGCACCGTCCTGCCTCTGCTCCTGCACCTCCAAGCCTCAGGACTCCGAGCATGCCATGGCCGGGTCGTTTGTGTTGGTTCTGGGAATTGAACACACACCCCTCCCCTTGTAAGCTATGCACTCTCCTGCAGAGCTGTTTCTACCACCGGGGGAAAGCTGTTCAAACAGCTGTTCAAACAGGCATCTGTTCCTTTGGGCGTCATGCATTCCATGCTTTTCTGTTGCTTGTGCTGGCTTTGAGGCAGCGGCTCACTGTGACCCAGGCGGACTCCAGGTTGGGATCCTCCTGCCTCAGGCTCCCCGCCCGGATCACGGCCATGCACCACCATGGACGGCAGGTCACCGTTAGAAGGGATGGGTGCTGTGTGCTGACCTGTGACAAGGGCCAGGCCTTCAGGGCTACAGTTTTCTGGGAGGAGTCCACTCTTGTGTGATTTGAGTCTTGAGGCCACGTGATGTGTTGGCGCCTGGACAGCTCTGGGCAAATAGTAGCCCACGCTGAGTGACACAGATGTCTGGGTCTCACAGGTGACGGCCCTGTCTGGTATGCTGTGGCATAGAAGAGGCTGATGCCATTCTCCTCCCCTGGGTGCCAACCCCTCTCCTTGCAGCTTCTCCCTCAGGGTGGCCGTGTCCCCTGGGAGGGCCCTGCTCCTGAACGCCCCTGCTCCTGGCTGACCGTTGTGCTTGGACTCCAGCTGCAGCCTTTGGGCGGGCTGTCCGTTAGTGTTGGTCTCCACGTGCAGCCAGAGGCTGTTCCCAGCAGCACACGGTGCAGCCATCCTGCTCACGCGAGAGCAGACTGATGATGAGAGTCTTGCTGATGGCAGGTAGCGGGCTGTCCTTTGCTTAGTGGTGGCATTTTGGGGTATGCATATTTAAATGTACCTAAATTCTTATTGAAAAAAAAAACCCTTGAATGATATAGCTCACTGGGAAGGCAGGTGTGTTCTGCGCGTCCCTGGCTGTGTTGATTAGCAGGCAATTCGCATGCACTGGGGTCTTTGGAACACGTGGGTAAGGAGCTACCCAATAGGTGCACGTGTTGCAGCGCTTGGTTCAAACTGTGCTGCTGGAGCTTATTTGCCGAGCGACTGGAGAAAGTGCAGAGCTGTCTGGGCCTCAGTTTCCCCGACTGTGAAGCGGGACTGGTGACACTTAACTCTGTCGTCCTACTGTCCATCTTACTGTCTGGAAGTAAGGGTTGCTGTGTCCAGTAATTCAAAATTGTTCACACTTGAATGTCCTTAAGATGCATTTTTATTAAATAAAATCCTGAGTGACTTCCTTAGGACCCTATGGACACCGGGGAGCAGAAGGTGGGGCCGGTGGGGTGACGAGGGAGACCGAGGGCCACCTGCGATGCCACCCAAAGTAGGGCCAGCATGGTGCTTGTCAGTCAGCGCTCAGATGCCTGTGGGCCGGGGAAAGCCTGCCTGAAAGGGAAGAGGGGCGACGGGTGCTCTGAGGGTGGAGACTCTGATTTGTAGAAAGACTCAGCTGAAAGGTGCAGTGTGGTAGTGTGTGCGTGTAAGCCAGGCTGCTGTAGACACAGATGGCTGCGTCCCCAGGGCTCCGTGGCCATCCCGTCCAGCTGAAGTGCTGAGCCCCAGATTCAGTGAGAGGCTTGTTCAAAAGTAAGGTTCTCGGAGCCATGGTGACATGTCAGCCTCTGGCCTCTACACACAGTGCTTGGGTGAGCAGCTCTGCACGCAAACACACCCATAGACACACACACATGGCCTTCCCGTTTTGAATCTGGGCCTGAAGGCCACACTAGGCACTCGGGTAGAAAAGATGTCAGGCCATTCTTAGCACAGGGGGCTGGATTTGCCGAGAGGAGGAAGTCAAGAACAGCCGCCATGCTGGACTTGGGTGTGTGTGTGAAAGTGTCTGTACTGACCAGCAGAGCTCTGGGGAGCGGTGGAAGGGGAGCGTGTTGGGACGTGTTGGGGACCGGCTTCCCCCTCTGAGAGGTCAGGGGGCAAGCCCAGATGATCCCACCTCATCATAGGCTAAAAGGAGCAGCTCAGCAGTGCCTGTCAAGTAAGTGTGCATTGTGAGCGACAGCTCGGTGTGAAGGTGCAGGTCAGCTTTCATGCTCGCTTTGTGCTGACACGCACCCACTGACTTTGTCACTTTTGAGCAAATCACTTTCTCTCCAGGTCTTCCCCTCTCATGTATGACAGGAGGCACTGGAGGTCAGACCCTCCTGGTCAGTCCTGTGGCAGCTCCTCCCGAATAAAGGCGTCGTGAGAGCAGGCTGTGCAAGCGCCCCCAACAGGAAGTAGGAGGGGCACGCACACTGCGTTGGCCCCTCAAGCCGTGGCCGTATATTTTGTGGGCACCACTGCTTAATTTAGCCTCTTTTTTTCCTCTTACAAGTTAGTGTTTTACCCAAAGCCATCAGTGGTAGCTTTAGCCTTCCACAGTCGGCTGTTTTCACAGGGTATGAAGGTTTTACACAGGAACTGGGTGCACATTTCTGCCCAGGAAAGGTACGCTCACATTCCAATGCGTGTGTGGTTTGATTGATGTTAGTCTACTGGCACCCGTGACCTTCTGGTGCAGGGACTGTTTGATTGACGGGAAAGCCCCATTTCCCACCAGTGGAGGCTGTTTTCGTCCTGTACCTGGAGCCAGGGCTTCAGGGTGATCAGCTCAGGCCGCTGAGGTGTTCTGCTTTGCTTTCGGTGGCTGTGGTGAGACACTGACTAAGAGCAACTTGGGGAGGGGGGTGTGTGTTTCACCTTAAACCCCACAGTCTGTCATCTGGGATAGCTGAGGCAGGAGCTGAAGGCAGGGGCCTAGGGTCAGGAATGGAGGCAGAGGCGGTAGAGGAGTCCTGTGGGGGTGGAGGGAGTGGGATGAGGTCGGGGGGGGGGATTTCTGGTCTTTGACTTTTGTCTTGATTTCTTGTCCCCCGAGGACTGTAATTGGAACTCTCACCTAGCTCAGTGCCTGCTCTGGACTGCAGTGATATCTGTGTCTTCATTTTGGTAGGAACAGAGGTGTTTGTTCCTCAACCTTCACCTTCAGTCTTCCTCACTGGGCATGCTCTGCAGGAGCACACCCGTCACACGCCTATGGAGACTGTTCTCTGGGCCTCGATCATGGCTGGCTTCCTGGGTCACTCTTACAGGCCGAGATCATGGCTGGCTTCGTGGGTCTCTCCATGGAGACACTGGCTACCAGACTGAGTGTGGTCCCTCGCTAGTTACAGATGTGCTCTGGAATCCCCAACCTACCCAGCACACAAGGTCATCTCCCAGCAGTCTAGCTGTAGGGACAGTGGCTTCTGCTCTGGGGTCAGTTAATGCAGCATGGGGGCAGCTCAGAGCCCTGCTTCATGGACACATTGGGAGGTCAGGAGCATTTTTGTGCCTGAGAGAAGCCTTCAGGGTTGTATGGAAATGCCTTTCTTTCTCTCAGGTGGAGCCATATCAGCTCTGCCTCTTGATTGACAACTGAAATACCGGGTGAGGCGGGCCTGTTAGCGCTTAATACAAGATACTAAACTTTTGCTTCTGGCTGATTACCTCTTCAGAATGCCTGAATTAAGATCAAGGCTTTAATCCCTTGTAATTGCCGGGGCTGCATGTGTAACCCTCACAGATGGCATTAAAGCCATGCCATGGGTCACAAAACTGGAGCAACCAAACCCTCAACAGTCTTCTGCCATGAATAGCTAGTGTGTGCGATTACACATCACCTCATTATGAATGAACGGATGGAGGGTGGAGGCGTAGCTCAGGGGTAGGTGCCGGTCTGCCGTGTCCAAGGTCCAGACGTGAACATCCGCACCGCAGTAAAGAGGAAACATATCAGCAGCACCCTGGACTGTTTGTAATCCTTGGTGCTCTGTGAGGCTCACAGCCGGATGAGAAGGGACAGGATCCTCATAGACTGGCTTTGTCTCCTGCTTTCCCTGTCATAGGACAGTGTCTGGAAGAACAGCTCAGGAGAGGACTTGCCTGGCCTCGAGTTTGAAGGGATAGCGTACACCATGGAAGAGGCATGGCGATGCCAGCACCAGTGAGTGGTCACAGATAGAGTCAAGAGGTGGACAGGCCCACCCCCCGCCACCCCTCTTCTCCACCAGCCTTCCACAACCTCCTCAAAGTCAGCATCACCAGCTGGGGGGTTCAAACACACGGGCTTCCGGGGACATTTCACGCTCGGCCACAGCGCTGGCCGTCCTCAGCTGATTATAGGTGTTCTTCCCTGAGGTCGCCCCAGTCTTACCATCGACAGTGACACACACCTGTCTGCCGCTGAGAACGCTGGCTGACGGTTTGGTGCATCTAGACATCTATACCTCTGTAAGGATGCAAAACTCCGAATGAATCTGGAAAGTGCTTGCCCGTGGCTCACCCTTAGCTGCTCTGTCTTAGCTGTTCCTTGTAACTGACTCAGACTCACAGCTCGTTGTTCTGGGACCGGCCAGGATGGGAGAGC